GAAAGTCGGATCCTGAGTCGAAGAGACTCATATTGCTCGGAACACGCTGGAGAATGGCCGGAGAGGCCATAGATCTTGCAGATCTGAGGTAGATCTAAAGGAAACCATGGAAGTCGGCCTCCGAGCTTTGGTCAGCTTAGGTTTAATGATGAAAGAGAGTGAGTACAGGCCCCCTCTGGCCAAGAATGCCATGGATTTCGATGAAAATAGGACGGAAGTAGGTGGGATAGGGGCTAGGGTTCCGGAGAGGGCTAGAGAGGATCTGGGAGGTGAAGAGAGTTCAAAGGCGGCACATCTGATAGAGTGAATTAGGGTTAAGGGGGGTATGGGAATTAAAAAAGGAAAGAACAGATCACGGCCGTTGATCAAAATGATCAACGGCCAGGATTAAAAGAGAAGCTGGGCGGGTCGGGACATAGCCAATTTCCCCCCTTTTATTTTATAAAAATAGTTAAAATGATTAAAAAAACAAATTAAAAGCACTGAACTAGTTAATAATATATATAAAAAAATTAATAAAAAATACTGGGAATAATTTTATAATCGTAAAATGTTATTAATCGTAATATAGGCTATAATTGCAATTTTATGCTATTTAGCTTAAAAAATATCAAATAAATTTGTAAAAATATGCAAAAAATCACCTTAATTATACTTTGGTGTAAATATGAAGATGGAAATAAATTATTCACCAAAATGATAATTTTGGGACTAATTATTGGATTTTGCATCGTTAAAATAGACAATAAATTAATTTTAAAAATCTTAAAATTTGGGAAAAGTACCAAAACTCGTGGGCATGCTTATATATGCATACACATGCTATTTTGAAAGTATTTTTGAGTTTGAAAATACATAGGGAAAAATTGGGTTTCAACAGGGCCCGCACCTCGGAACCCAACAAATTTTACAAAAACCCGAATACCCATTCCGATACGAGTTCAACCATACAAAATTTATCAAATTCCGATAGCATTTGGTCCCTCAAATCACGATTTTTCATTTTAGAAATGTTCTTCAAAAACCAACTCCTTCCCCAACCCAAAACACAATTTAAATGATAAAAATGAAGATAAAATCATGGAATATGTCAGATTCTAGATGAAGAATTCTTACCCAATCGATTTGTGTGAAAAACCCTCAAAGAATCGCTCAAAACCGAGCTCCACAAGTCAAGATATGAATAAAATGGTCTAACCCTCGATTTGGAAATATATTCTGCCTGCCCAGGGGTTGTTCTTCGCGTTCGCGATGAGTAAATTCCTCGTCAGCGATTTCAAAACTCATTACAGACAGCCTTTAGTATAATGGCCATAACTTTTTGCACGCAACTCCAAATGACAAATGGTTTGATGTTCTGAAAACTAGACACCAAGGGATATAGTTTCATAGGTTGCTCATTTCTTGAGTCATTATATATTGCAAGATATAAGCTTCCAAAGTCAACCCCGTGCAGCAGAGATTTTCGAACTCTCCCCGGACAACCTGTAGTGTAACTACCATAACTTTTTGTACACAAATCTAAATTCCAATTAATTTACATTTCTGAAAACTAGAAACAAAGGACTACAACTTTTATTTTTGGATCATCTCCAAATTCCTTGTAGATTGTCAGATATGAGCCTCCGAAGTTAGACCTGTGCAGGTGAGATTTCCTTCGACGCGAACGTGTGAGTTCCTTCGCGAACGCGTAAAACAAACTTCGAGAAGCCAAATTCTTCTTCGCGAACGTGGGAGCCTCCACGCGAACGCGAAGAACAACACCAGATATCAGATAATCAGCATCCAAAGTAGCCCAAAATGATCTGAAACACACCCGAAATACACCCGAGTCCCCCGGGACCCCGTCTAAACACACAATCAAGTCATATAACCTAACACGGACTCACTCGAGGTCTCAAATCATATCAAACAACGCCGAAACGATGAATCACACCACGAATCGAACTATGAACTTCCAAATCTTCCAACTTCGGAAACTTGTGCCCAAACCAATCAAATCAACCCGGAACGACGCCAAATTTTGTAGACAAGTCCAAAATGACATAACGGAGCTGCTCCAACTCTCGGAATCGCATTCCGACCCTGATATCACAAAAGTCAACTATGGCTCAAACTTCTTCACTTTCCAAACTTCAACTTTTCCAACTTTCGCTGAAACGCCTCAAATTACCCTATGGACCTCCAAATCCGAATCCGGACGCACGCCTAAGTCCAAAATCACCATACGAAGCTGTTGAGATCACCCAAAACCCATTCCGGGGTCGTTTACTCAAAAGTCCAATTCCGGTCAAATTCTCACCGTTTAACCTTCTAAAACTAGATTCCTTCTTCCAGTTTGACTCTGAATCATCCGTTAACTGAATTCAACCATGCACGCAAGTCGATACTCATATCACTACTAAAAAACAGCTGATTTGCGACTGAATATTTGCGACCGAAAAAATCAGTCACAAATTTGCGACCGATTCAATCGGAATTTTGAAAAATAATATTTGTTATATTTTTTTTAATTTTTTCGACTATTTTTCCGGAAACATTGGTCGCAACGTTTCGCGCAAAAATCCGGGATAAATTATTGCGACGGATTCAGTCGGAAACCAAAAGTCAAATAAATTTATTTGACCATTTGCGTCCGTTTCGGTCGCAAATTATTTTAAACTCTAAAATTATTTTCACTAGCCCGCCCAAATGAGCTAAAAAATAGACAAGACCTAATTTTATTTTAATAAATCCGCCTCCAAGAGACAAACCCTCCCCTCCCCCCACAATTTTGTCTTCTCCAAACGACCCACCCCCTGACTTCATCTCCCTCACACCACCCCCCTTCACCAAACTCGCCGGAGAAACAGCCAACGCCCACACCGGCGAAACCTTCCGGTCCCTCTCAATTCCCTCTCAATTCCGACGCTGAACACACACACGAACAGAGATGGGAGATTAAGGGAAGCAGTGCCTGAAATCACAGCAAATCCAACCAAAACAGAGCAAAAACTTAGATAGTAAGTTTCAATCATCCAATTACCTTAATTAGATGTGAGTATATACTTGATTCTTTCTGATATTTACATATTGTTAATTTTAAAAGATTTGAGTATATGAATATTCTCTTATTACCAGTTAAATCTGCCTCCGTCTGTGACTTACTGCTACCCATTGGTCTCTGTGAAGTATTACCTTAATTGACACACACTGTCAACTGTAAAAAACTAGTATGCATTGCCAAAGTGGCGCTTCTGTTTCAATGAATTGTAATATAGATTGAAGCAATTCAGGGCAAGATTGAGGTAACCACAAAGTGATACTCTTGGAAATTTCTGGCGTTCAAGGAAAGAAAATGCATAGTTATATCTTTTCGCGATGCCAACCCTTTTGGCTCCTCAGTTAGGAGTCAGATATAGCTAAAGAACCATGGAGAATAGAGTGCTAGCTACGTGTCCTTGTGGCTTTGTATTGCCTAACCTCGTAGATATCACGTAATTTGTCGCTTGCCCTTTTAGTTACGTTGTAGACTTTGAAATCCAAAAAAGCATGTAATATTTTACTCTAATGAATAGCCAGAAGTAACTGTCCAATAAGCAAAGTACAGGGGAGTCGGTTATTGAAAAAAGCCAAATACAGTGGATTCAACTGTTTAGCTGGAGGCTGGTTAGTGCCAGCTAAATAATTCACAAACTCTCTGTTCTTCTCTTAGGATATTGAAGCGTTTTATGTGTGCTCCAATCTCCATTATGTCTAATTCTTTCAGGCTGACTTATCCAGTTACTATGTTTCATCAACTTCTCCGGTTTGTTTTCTATCCTTAGTTGAGCTTCTTGTGTTTCCACCTGCACCTGCCAGCTGCTCATTGTGTGTTCTTTTCTTCTATTCTGCACGTGGCGACTTAATCTTGTGATTTGATGCCTTGGATTCCCTTTTAGATCATTATGACAATCCTAACTTCCTCCCCCTTACTCTTCTCCTTATTTTTCATAGACAAGAATTGAAGGATTTCATTCCCTTGGAGTTTATCAATCTGTAAAGAAGCTTCTGAAGCATGAAGGTGTTATTGGATTCTACAAGTAAGTGTATATTTGATTTTAAAAACTAATGTTTGTTGTAGAAGGATTTTTTATTCATGACGCCATGTATTGCAGAGGAAATGGAGCAAGTGTTCTTCGAATTGTACCATATGCTGCACTTCATTACATGACCTATGAACGGTATCGAGGGTGGATATTGATTAATTACCCTGCCTTAGGAACAGGACCTGTTGTTGATCTTTTAGCTGGCTCAGCATCTGGAGCTAGGAACTGCAGTTTTATGTACCTATCCCCTTGATTTGGCTCGTACCAAACTGACTTATCAGGTGCTTAATTTGTTAAAAATGCTTTTGTTTTTCTTCCTATTCTTGGTGAATATCTGATTGTATTTGGTAGTTTTACTACAATAGCTAGTTTTGTGCATATTATGTGCTTTTCCTATTGAAATTGTTTCATTAACACCGTTTGGCAAAGTTGGAAATTGATCTGATTGGAAGCACTTACAAATTGCCTTGCTTTAGTATGATGAAAAGTTGTTTCTGATTTTTTGACTTCATCAAAATGGCAATATACCTTGTCACTTCGTTAGATGTGTAGACCGTCGTAGGTAAGCTGCCTACTTTATTAAACACTCATGTAAACACTCAGGTAAGTTGTTTCTCATGTTATCAAAAAATGTAATAATAATCCATGGGTAACATGTTAATTTAGCTTGTCAATAAGACTTGTATTGAGCAAGTGGTATATTGAGCTTGTCAATATTGACCTGTATTGAAAGCTATTCTTTGTCCTTGGTGTTGTGTTGTAGTTTCAAACAAGTGGTATATTGAGTCCATTGCTTGATCTGCCAGCAATTCTTTGCTTTGTTTTTAAAGCCACAATTACTTGATTAGTTCAAGTATTCAAATCTGAATGTTCTGTTTCTGATAATCTAGTGTAGATTTTATGCTTATTATCGCTTCCAAATTTATTACACAGATGGATTCTCGTGGTAAAAAAATAAAAAAATCTAAGAAGAAGAAACACACTTTACCTACATCAAGTCAGCTTCCTCCACCTATACCAAATATGAGCCCTTTTCCTATGCCTCATCGTCCTTCCATGCCAGCTTCACAGTCATCTGACTTTTTCAAAGTCCCTCCCCCATCTAGCTCGCTTCAGTATTATTCCATGCCTTCTCATGGTGGTTCGGCTTCGACCACCATTAATTTCATACCCACGCCTCATTTCCCAGCTTCTTCCCCGCGTGGTCCTGCTAGTCAGATCGGCAGCTCACCACCGATTGCATCATCGAGCCATCATAGTAGCCAGCATGGCAGTTCATCTTTTGTGCCTCATACATCGGCCACTCAATTATCATCTCCAGCATCATCCACTCCAAGTATAACTAACTTGGATATTGGAGGCTCTCACGCAGCTGCATCCCCATCTACCAGTACGTCTACAGTTGCTAGTACCGTGAGACATTGTGCCGGAGGGACTATACAGTACGATCATCTTCATCGGCTGATTATCATTCCCCGTAACGTCAGGTGAGTTTTTATTCAATTTTCTTTTAAAAACTTTCAATAAAATTTTGCATATAATGAATTTAATGACATTTTATATGTTAAAATTAAATGCAGGTTTTTGCCATCCTTTCAGGCCGCGCATATGGTAATGGAATCTATGAAGCCATTTTTTGACGAGCCTTGGAATTCTTGGAGACAGATACCGTACCAGATCAGAATGAATATGTGGCAACAATTTAAGGTAAGATAAATTAATTTTTATTAATACTTATCCTCATTCGTCTAATATTATTTATTAAATTTTGCAGGTTCAGTGCGTATGGCAGCCAACACTTGAAAATCTGGTGCATGATAACTTCGAGAAGAAAGCACAGAAGCTGATAACAAATTCACATCATGTTGCTAGGAAAGGTGGCAAAAAGCCTAATTGGATACGTGAAGATGTCTGGAATCAGCTCTTGGCGAAGTGGAACACCCCTGAGTGGAAGAAGAAGAGTGAACAAGCAAAGTTAAACAGAGCTTCTACTAAGGGTGGAGCATTGCATACTGGAGGTTCTATTAGTTTTGAAGCCCATCGTGTAGAATGGTAATTTCATTATAAAATATTCTTAGTTTTACAAGCATGCAAATTGAACAAATATATATATATTTATATTTCTAATTAATTCTTAATTTTCAGGAAAAGGAACGTGGGGGAGATGTGACTTATGCTGAGGTCTTTGCAGAGACCCACAAGAAGAAGAAGAAGAAGGATGGCACAAGAGAAGGATGGATCGAACCGCGTGCTTTAGAGACATTTGTATAATCCAAACACCAACACTATATTATTTTTCCTTCTTGGTTTATTTTATTTATCTAACGTGTATTATTTTTATTTCAGGACAAGTATCATATTGATCTTGATGCATGGCAACAAACTCAACCTGAAGAAACTCAGCCAACCTCGAAGGATATGACTGCAATTTGGACACAAGCGGCCGGTGGCGTGAATAAAGGTATAAGTTTTATGTAATTATCTATTTTGGTATTAATTTGAAAGTTGCTTGTTTGTTTTCTTACTTCTTTTACTTTCTTTTCTTTATTTCTCGTGAAAATAATAAATTAAAGGTCGAGTCTACGGGATTGTAGTACAGCCATCCTCCAGTCGTCCACCAACAACATTATTCACTGGGGCATCAGTTTCCCAAGAAGACATGGAATCTATGCGTCAAAAAGTGGATCAAATGTCGCAAGAACTTCAAGAAACTCAAGCGTTGATCCAAAAATTGTTAGAAAAAAAGAGCAAGAAAAGAGCTGCAATGGAGTCTGAGTCTGAGTCTGAGGAGGAGATTGAATCTGAATAGGCTATTTGAATGTTTTAGAGTTGAAGTTAGAGACATGTTTAATTTATGTTGTTTGATAGTTCGTTGTTTCATTAGTTGGTTGAATTGTTATAAATATTATTGTTCATTTTGTGGTAAATATTTAATTTTGGATTGTTATATTAGGTTTTTGGTTAATTGTTAGGTGTTTGGTTGGCTGTTTTATTTGGTAGGTGGGTAATTAGAAATACAGTAGGATTCTGCCTAAAAATGCCAAGATTTGCGACTGAATCCAACAGAAATTTCACCAAGAATTATCCAGATTTGCGACTGATTCAGTCGCAAAATTGAAAATTTCTAACAATATTTAATTAATTTTTGCGACTGAATCAATCGCAAATGGAGAATTTTCGATATTTTTAATTAATTAATAATAATTATTTACGACTATTTCACTCAGAATAATTAATTAAAAATTAATTTTATTTTTAATTTTTCGACGGAATCAATCGAAACTTTTTATTTATATTTATTTTTTAACTCTGGTCAGTGATTGAATCAGTCGCTAAATTTGTGACTGATTCAGTCGCAAATTGCTTAATTTCAAATGTCCCCGCATTTTTCAATTTGCAATTGAATCCGTCGCAATTTTTTAACTGATTCAGTCGCAAATATATTGCGACCACATGTTTTCTGACTGACACTTCTCAGTCGCAAATCGGTCGAAAAAATACGATTTTCGACTGATTTGCGACTGATTTGACGGTCACAAATTTGGTGTTTTTTAGTATGAATTCATACACAGGTGCACCGAACTCCAGTATATTATGCTGGACCGGTCTCTGTTTTTTTTAGGTAATTAACATTTTATTAATAACCAATAATCTTTGTAATGCATAGCCTGCTTTATAACTCAGCAGCTATATCTTTCAAAACTCAAAACATGAACAAGAAAGAAACTCCTACATACTATGTCTAATGAAAAATAAAGTGTTGAACTAGACTACTGATTTCTTTTGTAGCTCGTACATTACATATGTAGGCTATTTCTCTAGCTAAACTATTGACACTTCTACTTCTTTGCTGAAATGTTCTCATGTTTCTTTCAATCCAAACACCATGAGTTACCTCTGCATATACCATTCTGTATAGTTGTGCTTCACATGATCTGCCTTTAGCTCTTTGTGTTATCCATTCTTGATGTTGTATCCAGTTATCTCCAATTGCTTCTTTCCTTTGCATCCATTGTAGTACCTTGGACCATACTGCTTTAGTAAACGAGCAGTTGACAAACAAATGATCTCTGGTTTCCACAGTCAGCTGACATAGAGTACATTTTGGATCCACATTGACTCCCCATTTGATCAATCTATCTGTAGTTAGTAATTTGCCTTGCACTTGTAGCCACGTTGTGAAAATGGCTTTTGGTCTAGCCTTGTTTTTGAACATCATAGATTTCCATGTAACTCTTGGACTATCTCCCAGCAACTGATAGTAGAACTGACTGATCATGCTCTTTTTGCCCCTGCTGCCTGTGTTGCATTTGTTGCAGAACTATTCTGGCATTTAAAATCTGTCTCACCATCCAGCTTGCCTGTTGTGGGATTGCTATATCTTCTATCCTCTTATCTTTGATGTAGTATGTACGGATCCATCTTATCCATAATCTGCCACTTTTATTTGCTACATCTCAGCATAGTTTTGCAACAGCTGCCTTGTTCCACACTTGCATATTAATCAATCCATAGACCCCTCTTGATTTAGGTGTACACATCCTATCCCAAGCCACCAGGGATTTCTTTGTGATGGTGTTGATCCCAGACCATATATAACTTCTGCAATAGGCCTCTATTATCTTCATAACTTTCACTGGTATGTTGAATAGTTGTGACCAGTAGGATTGAATCCCAAATAAGACAGTCTGAACTAGTTGCACTCTTCCAGCATAAGAGAGTTTCTTGGCAGTCCATGAGGAGATCCTTGTAACTATCTTTCCTATTAAAGGTTGCCATTGTATCAAGGATAATTTCTTGGTAGCAAGAGGGATACCAAGATATTTAAAAGGTAATTCTCCTATTGTATAACCCAACTTTTGGATAATTTCCACCCTAGTATTCTGCTGCACTCCTCCAAATATACTGAGCTCTTCTGCAAATTTGCCTGTAAGCCAGACACTTGAGAGGAATGATTAAAGCAATCTTGGATGTGAGTAACCGAATTGAGATCACCCCTAGCAAATATCAGAAGATCATCTGCATAGCTTAAATGAGTAATCCCTAATTTTGCACATCTTGGATGATACTTGAAATCTTTCACCTCCTTCAATTTGTTAAGTCTCCTGCTAAGGTAGTCCATTACAATTGCAAACAAGAAGGGGGAGATGGGATCACCTTGTCTTAAACCTTTGGCAGCATCAAAAGGTGGAGTGGTCTCTCCATTAACGATAACAGTATAGTTAACAGTTTTCACACATTCCATTGTCCAGTTCACAAATCTTTCTGGGAATCCCATTTCAGTCATAACTTGCTCTAAGAAACTCCATTCTACTGAGTCATAAGCTTTTTGGAGATCAATCTTGATCATGCATCTGGCAGAGATGTTTTTCTTTGTATAAGCTTTGATTAATTCATGAGCTAAGATAATGTTATCTGCTATCCTCCTTCCAGGTATAAAACCAGACTGTGCTTCACTTATCACTGATGCTATCACTTGTTGTATTCTGCCAGCTAGAACTTTAGAGATTAGCTTGTACAACATGGTACAACAAGCAATAGGTCTGTAGTCTTTTATTGTGCTAGGGTTGGTCATTTTAGGAACCAATGTGATGGAGGTACAATTCACTGCTTTATACAATTTCCCAGTTCTGAAAAACTCTTTCACTGCTTGACTGACTTCTCTTTTGACAATCACCCATGACTTCTTGAAAAAATAAGCATTGTGGCCATCAACTCCTGGTGCTTTGTCACTATCAATAGCACACAAACCATTATAGATCTCTTTATCAGTCACCTCAGCACATAAAGCAAGCTTCTGCATTTGTGATAGTTTAGGCCCATTCTTCATGATCATTTTATCTATTGCAGGTAGAGTTTGAGCTGCTGAACCCATTAAAGATTTGTAGAAACCCACCACTTCCTGCTTTATGCTGTCAGGATGAATCAGTTTATCTCCCCTGATTGACATAAGCTCATTTATTTGCTTTCTCTGATTTCTTTCTTTCATAACAGCTGCAAAGTACTTTGTATTGGAGTCTCCCAGTTTGATCCACTTAGTTCTTGCTTTCTGCCTTAAGACACTTTCTTCAATAAGGGACCACTTTTCTAAGTTCTGCAACAAACTTTTCTCTTCTTCAATCAGATTATCATTGCAAGCTGCATTTATCTTCTGCTGCACCTCTTCTAAAGTTGTTCTAGCTTGTTCAATCTTCATGTTGATGGTTCTATATTGCTCAGTGTTTAGGGTCCTAAGCAGGGGTCTTAGTTTCTTCAGTTTGATCCAGATGTTCTGCATAGTTCCCTCAGTGAAAGATTGATTCCAGATTCCTTCCACAATGGATAGGAAACATTCATGATCTGCCCAGACATTAATGAATCTGAAAGGGATTTTGCCAGGTTTGGGAGCTGAATGGAGAGTTAAAATCATAGGACTATGATCAGATATGTATGATAGTCCATATTCAGTAGCCACATGCCCCCATTGCATCATCCACTCATCATTGCCAAAAGCTCTATCTATTCTACTGCTGATCCTGTCAATACATTATTGTTTATTAGACCATGTGTAATATTCACCTGTCCATGCCAGTTCATTCAGGTTTAGACTAGTTACACACTCAGCAAAATCCTGCACTTCAGTATATGTAATGGGGTTGCCCATCTGCCTGTCATTTGTATGCAAGACTGCATTGAAATCTCCACATAGTAACCATGGTTTAGTGTTTCCTGCTGCAATGTCCTTCAGACCACTCCATAATTGTTTCCTTTGTTCCATGGTATTGTAACCATATATAGCTGTAACTGCACAGTCAATTATGCCCATCCTGTCTTGTACCAAACAGTGTATGTATTGAGCTGCAACCCTTATGATATTAACATTGTACCACTGTGAATCCCAAGTAACCCATATCCTCCCATTTGGAGCATCCTGATAATTAGTAGCATAATTCCAACCTGGTAGTACATTTGATATAGTTCTACTAGCATTATGTTCTTTGACTCTTGTTTCTACTATGACTGTTAGCTTTATTCTTTGATTACTAACATATTTTTTCAACTCTTTTTTGTTTGTATCTCTTATTTACACCCCTAATATTCCAAAAGATCCACTTCATCAGCAAGTTAGTCTACCTCTCCCTTTATCAGGAGGTACACTACTTGAACACCATGATCCCTTAGTCAAAGGTCCAAAAGAATTTCTCATAGCAATGGCTGATAAAGCTGAAAAACTTGTCATATCCAGCTCAAATGACCGGTCTCTGTTGCAGCAAAATAGTGGCTATTTTTCATTGACTTGGTAAACGCTGGCTATTTTTGAATGACCAGTCCGAAAACTGGCTAGACCGTGCTATTTTTACCCAAAAGTGCCTTTTTGGTCAAAAGTACTTTGGGCCAAAAATTGAGTTGTTTGGCTAAGCTTTTAGAAGGGACAAAAAGTGATTTTGAGGAGAAGCAGAAGCAGAAAATATGTAGCTTCTCTCTAAAAAGCACTTTTTTTAGACACACTTTTGAGAAAAATACACTTAGAAGCATTTTTTAAAAGTTTTACCAAACACTAATTACTGTTCAAAAGTGTTTTTCAAATTAATTAGCCAAACACAAACAGATTCTCTCCAAAAATACTTTTTTAAAAAGCACCTTTGGAGAAAACACTTATCAAATAAGCGGATTTTAAAAGTTTGGCAAAACATGCTAGTAGTTCCGCTGCTATTTACTACCTAGCTTTAATCTTAATTGGAGGTACATATCACTTATTCCTTGAAAACATCATTAATATTATTGATGAGAGAAGTCAGGCCAGTTTTATTTAAATCAACAGTCTCACGC